GATTTATTAAGCTTTTAGTTAAGCGTGCAAAAATATCCCTCAGCACGTTCACGCGACAGTCGGGCCTACGTAACCGGAACGACCCAGATTTATATCTGACCAAGGACTGTCACTCCAGTTGTTTGCTGTTACAACAACAACAACATCCCTCAGCATTGCTTTTGGCTTGCGATACAAAAAATAACTACAAAGCGGAACACCTAGGTAAAAACTAGAAAGCTCATTTTCTCGCAATTTTGGATTTTTGAGTTATGACGTTTTTCTAGATAAATAGTGATTTGTATATATAAACGTAAAGTAATTTCGTTAATAACTTTCAGTCAGCTAAATAAATTGTTTTCTGTATATACTACTACATATATGGAAATGCAATTCAAATGTTCTAAAACATTATTCAATTTATTTGTCGATATTTTCAGAAATTTAATTTCTGTCGGACTCTTCTTTTTCTTCTTATTTGACGCCCAATTGAGTAGTTTATACGGCATTAAATAGCTGTTGATAAAATCCAGTCTCATTTGGAAGTGACATGAAATTCTTCTTTATTGTCGAATACTTTCAATGAATCAGTAAAATGCATATATTTCTTTTACATTTAGGTTAGGCTAGGTTGTTGCGGCAGCCAGTTCAAATAACCATCACACTTAGATCCTGCAGGTCCATTGTGATACCACTGCGCAACACGGGCACTTCAGTGACTATTTTGAAATAGAACCATTTTTAGGCGTAGGATTGTCTTTTTCTACACCAGATAATTCCGTAAAAGAGCTAAAGAAGCCTACCTACAAAGCCTCCTCTGATCTTCGCCAAAGCTGGGAATTTGCAGAAGAAGTGCCCAACTGTTTTTTCTTCTTCCTCATCTCCGCAACTTCTGCAATATTCGTGGGAGAATATTTCTAGTCTGAAGAGTGCCTACCAAATAACCAAGGTCCGGTTACACAAGCCGTTACCATCGCTTTATCCCCCCTTGAGAAGCTGAGCAGTTCTTTCATATTTTTTTTTTTTAATCTAATTGTGTCTATAGTAGCCTAGTCATTCTACAAGTGCCCTCCTCTAGACACCATCTATTGGCCTCTTCGTTACGAAGGTACACAGCCACCTCCTTCGTGCGGTTAATTCCAGTCCTAATTCCATAGAGAAAACTCCCTCTCTCTGTGTAGCTTGGATACATCTGTGTAGAAATATAATTCCCCCTTATCCATGGTATTGGTGTTCGCTATTCTCTTCTTGATGGGATGTTTACCTTAAAGAGCCTACCGGAGGTGGGTTTAGGGACGGAGTCATAAATTTTTTGGTTACACTGCCCTTTAGTACTGAAAACTAAAAAACTATGGTCCAAAAACTGCAAGTTATTGGGAACAGTTTTTTATACAAGGACACGCGATGTTTTTTTTTTGCAAAAAAAATCTTGTTTTTCCTGTTTTTGATGACTTTTTTTCAATGAATTTGAGGCGGTTGAACTTGCTAAATAGTAATAATAATATTTTTGACGTTATAAACTAATCACTTATTTCGTCTTTTCGTATAAATATGAGCTCAAGACGAGACTCGCGTCGTTAGCATCCTGATTTATTTTGCTACATTTGTGGTGAATATACTCCTGAAAAAAACAATTGCAAAATATTTCCGAATTTGTTAAAAAAGCATACCTCTCTTACTTCGGTTTTGCGATAGATAAACAGGACAAATTTTGGGCACCTAATAAGATTGTCGAACAGCTCTCGAGTCTTTGCGGCCTTGGATTAAAGGGGTTATAAGTGGCTTAAAGTTGCTGTGCCAATGACATGGATGGAACCAAACATTTTGTTCATTTAAGGGTATTGTTGGGGATTTCACATCCTCACACACAGACAGATATATATCATCAATTAATTGTTTTACAGAGGTTAAAATATAAAAATGAAAAAAAACGCATTTTGCGGCATCTATAAACCTCAAATCCTCGAAAACTAGAATCAATCCAATATCTTTAAGGCACATTCGGATTCTATAAGAATCCGCTACAATATTTTAATCAACAGAATTTAGCTGTGTAGTGTTATATAATGGCACTATTTTTCTCTCGTAGGCAATTATGCCAGCTTTCTAACCCATATTTTTATCTTATTCCTATCCAGAAATTTACGATTTTGCCCATAGACACTCCTGCGTGAGTTTTACTTAACTTTAAGGAATGAAGTTCCAATTGGTATCACGTTGTTGTCAAAAATATACGCGAGGGCTGCATGATGAGGGATAAATCAATTAATATACAAGTATATTAAGTACAGCTAATCTTATTTGTGCAATAAAGGTCTAATGAAATATTTTATCAAAATTGAGCTCCAAACGGTTTGCAATATAGTAACTCCTGAAGGCAATTTCCTATGACCCTATGGAATAAAAAACCTAGAATGCTTTCAAAAGCTTTAATGAAGTGCTGGAGAGGAAGCGTAAATTTAGGCAAACAACTTTAATCAACAACAATTTCATGCAGCACACAGCCATAATACGCACCTTTTTTCTCTTGGCGATGCTGCTGTCCATCGATTGTGAAACCAAATTGGTAAGGTCGTTCGGTTGATGCAGCATCTGAATATGGCAAGTAGCCAGACAGCACCGTTATCTTAAAAAAAAATTAAAAAAAAAATATGCATTAGGCGTAAAAAGTTCAAAAAAGTTCAATGGCACAACAAACTACTTACGCATGCAACAAAAAGCAATGCCAACATTAAGCGTAACTGCATTTTTGAGTTGCCGTTAAAATTGATGAGTAGACAAATGAAAAATTGCGTAATTTAGCAAATTATGTTTTTAAATTCCTTTGAATATTTTTCGTAGAGTTTTTACTCTTCAAAGACCTTTAGTAACTTTTTATTGTTGCGGTAATCCAGAATTGCGCCTTTTTCAAAATTATTTGAAGGTTATATTTGTTCACTTGTTTCTATTTTATTTCATTATTTTTGGTTGCTTTAATTTGTAGTATAATCAATAACACGCACTGCACTACCAATGGCACTCCGTTGCACTTTGTTCTACGCGCCTGCGCAATCGTAACTGAATATATAAAAGCGTACTATTATCTATCGTACGGCGCTTGAACGTTTGCACTGTATACTATTTAGTATAGTATATTTTAGCAACACCTGCGCGTCTATCTAATCGCCGTACGTCGTTGCTGGGCCACCGTTTTGAAACACACCTCGTTGTGTTCTGCGCGAAATTGACAAAGTTATTAATATTAAGTAAACATTATATAAAACATTAGAACAGCGTAAAGCGATGAGCTGTTGCGGCGCGTTGCTTCAATGATTAGAATTTTATGCCGCTGTTTGTTCGGGGTGTCAATATTGCTGCTGTTGATGTTTCCTTCGCCGATATGTTGTCACTGATGGACGCAAACATACACACGTAGAGTTAAGCATAGTAAGAGTAAGAGTAACTAATGCTAAATGCTAAATGCTTTTTACTTGTCCATGTATAAAACACACACAGATGAACACACAGATGACAACAACGGCGGCACTTTTACTCAAAACAAACACCTGCTCGCAGCGCGCCAACCAAAAGCGCGCATAGAAAACCTATCATCTCTTGTGAGTGCGCGTCCCACGTGTGAAACGAGTTCGCAAAGCTTTTGAAGCGCTTCAAGCTCTCTATTTATTGGAGGTTGCTGCGAGTGTGTGTGTGTGCATGCTATTTACTCACGCGCCTGCGCTATCTTTTATCAGTTTGTGCCTTTTTTTTTGTTGGTCATAACCGTTTGAAAGCAAAACGTGCTGGCTTGCTGATTGGCACATTGATATGTCTTTGGAGAATGCAAAGGTAAACAATTCGAAAAAGCTTAGCTTTGAGAAGTTTATTATTATTTACAGCGCTATTTTAAGTATGATTTTGTTTATAGATGTACATACCCTACAAGCTGCATGGCACCCCACGAAAATACTGTTTTGTAAGTAGACACCTGTTTAGAAAACCTTCAATTAAGAATTATAATTTGGAGATTAAAAGATCTAAAAGAAAGGAGAGAATCCCGTTACCGTAGAAAACACAAAATTCTAGGCGGTGGTAGGACGATAGATAGGGAGCAGTCGAAGCTGCCTTGCTTAGTATTCCAATGCCAGGGGATGCCAGCAGAGAAGCCGTAAGCCTCGACAACTCCTGCTTTGTGGATAATCTCTTTTTAATCATTCAAATTTTACAACCAGACTACACACTTTGCCACCATTTGGTGAACGTGCGCTCACACAGTGCAGCCGAGATCCAAAAGTGCGGTCAAAATTGGCATACAAAATGTCTAGGTAGGGCGTTTTCATCATTAAGTTGGCTAAAAGGGACCGTCTAAGAAAAAAACACCGTTCACAGTAATGTGGTCTTCACGCAACCATAAAATTATGGTAGATTTAAAGAAAAAAGTTATACATGCATAAAAGTATTTGGAGTAAAGGAGATCTAACAAAACCAAATGGAATGTAAGTCTGAAGGTTAGTAAAATACTTTAAAAAAATTTGTGAACATCAACACGGTAACACAAATTTTTTTTAGCAGTAGAAATATAATGAAACCGTAATAAGAAACTGCTGGATTGATTTTTGGAAATTTTTTTAGTTGAAGGTGTTGCTCATTTTCATCACCGAACATAGATACTTCGTATGAAAGAAAATGTCTGGCACTGTCAACAAATAAAAAACAATTCAAAAATCAACGGTTGGTCATAGCTACTTCAAACTTGCACTTTGTGACACTAAATTTGAGTGGGCTATAAAACTTCGTTTTCGAAAAAAAATTAAAAAAAAAAACACGAAGTTTTCCAATATTTCCCTATTTATAAAAAAAAAAACGCCATCAGCAAGAAAAAAATGGGTATATTAAGAATCAATATAAGTAATATTTTAAAAGTATTATAACTGCATATCCAAAAATTTTCTAAAAAAAAATTTTGAAATTTTTCTATATTTTGTAGAAAGTTGGAAAGTTTGATTTATATGAATTTTGTTACAGCATGAACCATATTTTCATAAAGCAATAACAAAAAATTTTAGCTTGAAAACCATTGTAAATATTAAAAAATCAAAACACCATGCATTCACTCTTGACCGCCAGTGTAGTTATTTCTTCATTTGCTTAAACATTTAGAATCTCATCAAGCAATTCCTGCAAATGAAATAAATAAAAAATCTTGTTTTAATTCTTCAATTTACAAGGTCAACTCCAAGTCCACCTTTTCAAATCTGAACGAAAACAAAAAATGCGGATGCATTGTCGAACAGATTTATTCGAAAATAACAAAAAACACAAAGCTTTGATAATTGCAGCTTGTACAATGCGCCATTGTGACATAGACATGCACATTAATTACACTTCCCATGCAAACAAATAGTACGAACAGTACCATCTGTCTTGGCAGCTAATTTGTTATGCATCATCAATTGATTTACGTGGTGCTGGATGCAAGATCAACATAAAATTAGCAGCATAAGACAGAGAATAAAAGGCTACACACCAGACACCAAAAAAACCCGAAAATCGATCCGAAAAATGAAAAAAAAAAAATTGATGAATCGCGGATTTTTATCCGTTTATCGATTCCATTTTCGGATATTTTGACGATCCGTTTTCCCACTAAGGTTTGCGGCAGAAACGTATGTACCGACAAGAACCGAAAACTGTTCTGAAACGGAGACGTTTCTGGCTGTTTTTATGAAATTTTTCGGATTGAATTTTTCGTTCAATACGCTTTCCTTCTGCACTTCACAGATGCTTTTTCATGGTTAAAAAATTGTAATTAAAAAAATAAAGCACCTGACCGAATTCGTACTCGGCACCTTCTGGAAGCTAACAATTAGTGGCACGCTCCTTTGTACACTCAGCCACTGCCGACGGTTACCGCATACGTTAATGAATGTTAACTTGTAGTCGTTTTCTTTTCGTTTCCGGATACGGAAAATTTTGTGTATCTCTGCTGGCTGGGACTGCAGAAAATTCAACTATGAACTTCTAAACTGGGGAATTACACTGCCGGTAAAAAGTATTGGCACAGATGCTTTTTTACAATATATGCAACAATTTTTATTGTAATATTTTTTTCGGCAATTTTTTATAAAGATTGGTTGATTCCACAACAAAAAACATAAAAATATAATTTCTAAACTTTGTGCAAATCTCGTGACAATTTAGCAAATTTTCTACATTTAATCAGATTTTTTCGATTTTTTTTGAGTATGCAGATTTGTAGCTCCATCACTTTTATTGTAATAAAGTAGAAGTTCTAAGTAGCTACGAATTACCGTTGAGTTTTGGCCATTTTTTCCCTCCGTTTGGAAAAATCAAAAATCAATGCATTTCAAAAAAATTTCAAAAATCTGATTAAAATCTTGAAATTACATTTGATGCTTTTTGTTGTGGAATCAACCATATTCTTATAAAAAAATTGTCGGGGAAAAAATTGCAATAGAAATTGTTGCATATATTGTAAATAGCAGCTGTGCCAATATTTTTTGCGGAACTGTACTAAGAGTAAAAAATGTAGGTTTTAGTCTTACGCCTGGCAATATATTCTCCATGACGCATTTTGTGCAGGGACCGTAACAGTTGTAAGCGATATCGAAAAATTATCACTTAATCCTTATGTTTTTATTTTTATCTTTTTCATCAAATTTAAGAACTATTTCATGAGTTCTATGTTTGTTCACAAAATAATACTTACTCTTTGAGTTTTATGTTTTCTTAAATAAATAACACTTATGAAATGAGTTTTATTTTTCGTTCTGAAATAAAACTTACGCGATAAGTTTTATTTTTCTGTTATATATAAAATAAAACTCACCTTGCAAATTGTATTTATCGTTAAAAAATGATTATTATTTCGTAAGTTTTGCTTTTGTTGGTGTTGATTCATTTTTCAGAACGAAAAATTACACTGAAGATGGCACAACACCGAAACCGGTTTGTCTGCAAACCAAGTTTGGCAAGGGATGGCGGAAATTCGTTCCAAAATAACTCATAGGAAATTACGCCCGAAAAAACGCAAGCAAAACGAATGGAGTTTACTTAAAATAGGTTTCAAAACGACATTTTGTGCCACAACAGAAAAAGAAAACTCATTTCATAAGTGCTATTTATTGAAGGAGAAATAAAATTCAACAAGTAAGTATTATTTTACGAGCAACCATAGAACTCATGAAATATGTAAATATTAAATTTGATGAAAAACATAAAAATTATAAAATTTGTGTTTATTGCATAAATTAATAGATCTCTAAAGGACGATCACTTTCATATACAACATCATATATTTCAGGGAACTCCTTCATGTTAATTCATTTGAAACAAATTTGCACCCATAACAGTTATTTACGGTCCCTGATTTTGTCGCCTTGAGAAGAACTGCTATGCATATTGCTTAAGAGAGAAGCGGAAAGCTGTACCATATTATGAATGATATAAGTTATTAGATCCTGACGGAGGTGGAGGTTTGAAACCATCCTTGTTAGAAGCAACAAAATGCTTAGCGAAGACAACGCCATTACAAGACACCGAAGTGTTGACTCCCGCTCTAAGCATTTCCGCATTACGCAAAACTTTACATATTTATATCTTAGTTCAACACGCAAGCGCGTATAATGTAAGTTACGTGAGAAAAAAATGCCTTTAATGATAATCACTTACTAACAGCGATAAAAATATTCAACTTCCCTCAACAAATGCTAGTTTGTACATATACATACAACTTTAATTACATACGCACTACCTCTTCAATTATTTACCTCTATTGCAATTCGATTTATGCAACGAATTTAAATATATATGTTTTTTATTTTGGCAATAGTTGACTATTTTTATCAGAAATATTGCACATTGTTTATAGTAACATTTTATGCTCACCCAAATAGCAACCTGTATTACAAGGCTGCAATGGCTAGTCTAACAACAGCTTAAAGGAAATTATTTTGTAATAGAGCTTTAATCGCACTGCCCATCCAACTTCACAAACGGCAT